TCCCTCTTTACTCTTACTTTTACTCTCTGTAACCCTCTCCCTCTTTACTCTTACTTTTACTCTCTGTAAACCCCTTGGATGCTAGTGGCACCTACGCCTTTCTTGGGGTGAAATGCTTTAAAAATAAAAAAATAAATAAATAAATCAACTGAACAGACATTTATTACGTTACTGAATATGATTTTGTATTCACACTGCTCTTGTAGTAAATGTTGGACATTTTTTTAAACATTTTGCCTATTCTATTATTGTGTAATCTTTTTCGTTGTTTGTGCTGAACCATAGGCATTCTGTCTGCCGATGCGTCCGCTTTGTGTTTCTGTGTTGACATAGAGCTGTCTGCTCTAGTATACTGGCCAACCTGTCTCCCTTCTGACTCAGTTGTGTTTGTCAATGTATCTCTCAATACTCACCGTTCGGTCTGTACATACAATTAAAAGGCCGTCATGTTTTCATTAACTTCTCTCTCTCTCTCTCTTTTTGTTTTACTTTGATTTTTCGTTATAACAATTTAATGATAATTTTCTTGTTCACTGAATTCTTAAAATTCTTAAACCGTTTCTGCCGATTTCCTTCCTTTGACTAATTGCTGAATATTCTAAAACTCTTTACCAGATTTATTTTTAGGTGTAAATAAGATGTAAAAATGTTAAGCATTTGCAAAAGTTCCATGTACATTTCTTTTTAAAATACCTGTTAAATGACACAGTTGTAAACCGGTTTTTTTTCTAGAACGTTTACACACACCTAATATTTGACTCCTTCTGGCTCCTTCTATCATGCTTTATCTTTACAAGAGTACGAATAAACTAAAAATGAAGTCTCAATCGTTATATTTGGGCTGGAGTTGCCCAATCCTCACACATCATTCTTGAGTTGAAGTGAGTACACAGGTAGTTGGCATTTTCCATTATGCAATCTATCTTAAATATTTATAAGTCTACTATTCGTACATGCTTAGGATATTACTGTCACATATGGTTCGGTGTTCCTGTGATATATCTAGATCCTTGATATAATCCAAAGAAAAATCAACAATATTATAGGTCCTGATTTGGCGTATCTGCTTCAGTCCCTTTCTTTCTGTATTTTCATGACAATTGTTTGGACGGAGCTTGTAGTGGTATTGGCGACATAAATCAACCCACACATTCTTTTTTACTTTACGATTGTTTAAGCAAATAAAATGTGTGGGTTGATTTATGCCATCAATACCACTACAAAAATGGTGACCCCGGCGTGATCTGAACACGCAACCTTCTGATCTGGAGTCAGACATTGTGTTGCTTCCTAATACTACCCGCATTTTACGCAGAAGTTGTGACGGTTTACTTTGTCCCAAGCTTAAGTTATTAAAGAGGTCACGCAGCTTTTGTTTCTCAGATTGACCAGTTCTATGGAGTATAGCTTCTTTTAGGGTATCATAAGATTTATCAGATGGCATCTCATCCAGGAGATCCGAAACCTCAATCGCTACCTCCGCCGGTAGCTTCTCTATAACGTAAGCATATCGGGAAGTTTGTGAACTTATCCTCTTTGCGTTGAATATAGCAGTTAACTGTGCGAACCAAACTTGCACGTTGATACTGTTGTAAGCTGGCAAATGCACAGTTATTGCGGCTTCTGTGTGTGCATCAGTTTGCCCAGCCATAATGTTAATATCTCTTCGACGCGGAGTTAGGATACCAGTTAAGTTGGGTCTAATGTGGTGATTCAAATTTGTAAACGTCGGTACAAACGTCAGAGTTGCCAATGTGAAATCTGAGTAAGTCTCTCAAATATCGCTCAATACTTTTCCACGCACATTCGTATTCGGGGTCACCATATATAGTGGTATTGACGGCATAAATAAACCCACACATTTTTTTTTTACTTTACGAATGTGTAAGCAAACAAAAATGTGTGGGTTGATTTATGCCGTCAATACCACTACAAGCTCTTCAATATGGTACCTAGACTTTGTGAATATAAGCGCAGTACTAAATACTCTCTGATAAACTCTCTGAAATTAATGTAGAAATATGTCAATATTTGTGGAAGTGTTACTGAGAGGATTCAGCGCGCTTTGAAGTGTTGCATATTGAACTATTTGAATAGTTTGTTAATCATAACAAATCATGTTTCGCCATACTTTTTTACTACAAATCACCATAACAAATTATGTTATTTTGATATGATAATACCGATATATATGTCTTAATCGATTGTAATTAATTTTTGCTTAGTAAATTTAATAAAAAAAAGCCGGAATCTCTCTCTCTCTCTCTCTCTCTCTATATATATATATATATATATATATATATATATATATATATATATACATATGTGTGAGTAAAATTTAATATAGAATATACCAGTAAAAGGACAATATGAATAAAGACAAAGGAAAACTTATCTTGACCGACTAGTTCTATCTACTGAGGGCTTTTAATGTTCCTCAGATGCCGAAACGCGTCAGCTAAGATAAAGTCTTTTTTTAATTCATATATATATATATATATATATATATATATATATGCACACATACATATAATATTCATGTATATATATATGAATTATATATGTATGTGTGCGTATATATATATATATATATATATATATATATATATATATGTGTGTGTGTGTGTGTGTGTGTGTGTGTGTGTGTGTGTGTGTGAAAATATATAGAAAATGGGAAAGAACAGGTTAGGCAAATAATCCAAAGTTCTTTAGTATTTTTGTTATTAATTTTAAAAACAGTGCTCGATACAAAAGTAGAGCCTAAGTAGATCCTGCGAATGAATCATATTTTTAAATAAATAATTATATATATATATATATATATATATATGAAATCCGAAAATTTTGTTACGTTAAATTATTTTTTTTTTAGTGGATACCCGAAATCAAGAATTCTTAATAATGAAAATGTGCTCTCCGTCAGGATTCGAACCTACGAGTGTGTCGTCACTTTACAAATAAGTAATTATGTTCAGTTACTAGTTTTGAGAGCGTACCTGTCTACTTGGGTGGCTAGCCAATCCGTATTGCAGACCCCTGCTTAAGTCCATTTGTGTTTCTTCAACGCCCACAGAGACCACTTGTTGTTTATATTCCAACTATGTTGAGCTGAAAGTAGTTACATTTTCTGGGAAAGACAGAGAAAACTGTAAGAAATTCTAGATTTTTTTTTATATTCACCTCATTCTCGTCACTGCCTACCCCTACCTCTTACATTCATATCACTGCACAATAATAATGGCACCGGTAAAAAATGGCACAGGTAAAAAATGGAACAAGTGAGAAAATAGGAAAAATGGCACAAAGCGAAAACATACAGGAAAAAATGAAATGCACGCGTTATTTATTCAGTAAAATCTGAAAAAAAATATTTAACCAGTGACCATTAACTCTCTAATCAGACGCCAGTTGACTCCTGGTTCAGTTGTCATGGGTTTTGTTGTCAGTGGTTCAATTGCAGGAATTCTGGTTCAATTATTGAATTGAATTCTTATTCATCGCGATGAATCCTGGTTTAGAAATAGGCTCAGTTGTCCTGGAGCTGTCAAGCACACGATTGATATGAGTGGCTCTATCACAATCCCATCATGGAAGCTGATCTACAACAAAGACTAAAAAATTAGTCTTGTCAGTGGTTCAATTGCGGGAATTCTGGTTCAGTTATTGAACAGAGCACACAACTAGAAAGCATTGTGCTAAATCCTGAATTAGAAATAGGCTCAGCTGTCCTGGAGCTGTCAAGCACACGATTGATATCAGTGGCTCTATCACAATCCCATCATGGAAGCTGATCTACAACAAAGACTAAAAAATTAGTCTTGTCAGTGGTTCAATTGCGGGAATTCTGGTTCAATTATTGAATTGAATTCTTATTCATCGCGATGAATCCTGGTTTAGAAATAGGCTCAGTTGTCCTGGAGCTGTCAAGCACACGATTGATATGAGTGGCTCTATCACAATCCCATCACGGAAGCTGATCTACAACAAAGACTAAAAATTAGTCTTGTCAGTGGTTCAATTGCAGGGAATTCTGGTTCAGTTATTGAACAGAGCACACAACTAGAAAGCATTGTGCTAAATCCTGAATTAGAAATAGGCTCAGCTGTCCTGGAGCTGTCAAGCACACGATTGATATCAGTGGCTCTATCACAATCCCATCATGGAAGCTGATCTACAACAAAGACTAAAAAATTAGTCTTGTCAGTGGTTCAATTGCGGGAATTCTGGTTCAATTATTGAATTGAATTCTTATTCATCGCGATGAATCCTGGTTTAGAAATAGGCTCAGTTGTCCTGGAGCTGTCAAGCACACGATTGATATGAGTGGCTCTATCACAATCCCATCATGGAAGCTGATCTACAACAAAGACTAAAAAATTAGTCTTGTCAGTGGTTCAATTGCGGGAATTCTGGTTCAGTTATTGAACAGAGCACACAACTAGAAAGCATTGTGCTAAATCCTGAATTAGAAATAGGCTCAGCTGTCCTGGAGCTGTCAAGCACACGATTGATATCAGTGGCTCTATCACAATCCCATCATGGAAGCTGATCTACAACAAAGACTAAAAAATTAGTCTTGTCAGTGGTTCAATTGCGGGAATTCTGGTTTAGTTATTGAACAGAGCACACAACTAGAAAGCATTGTGCTAAATCCTGAATTAGAAATAGGCTCAGCTGTCCTGGAGCTGTCAAGTACAGCATTGATATCAGTGGCTCTATCACAATCCCATCATGGAAGTTATAGCAAGTAATTGATATCACACACCTTATTCAGTAACACTTAATTGCTCTCTGACCTTGTATTGGGTGAACTATAGTAAAAACAAAAACAAAAAATCAATGTATTAAGACAGTGAAAAGTATTTAAAGTCTTAGACGGAGGAACTTGAACCACATTTTACTGTTATTCAAAGTTCTATTTCAGGGCAAATAAAAGAATGTTTGTGACTTGCTAACATTTGAGTTTTAAAAATTTTAATTGAATTTTTTTTTTATTGCAGGCTTTTTAACAAGTTCCATTGTTCTGACAGTCTGTCTGTTGTTGTTCCAGCGGCTTTTCTACTAGAAACGTCTTCAACCAGGTTAGCTTCAGTGATCGATTATTCACGATACAGTTCGTACCTGGAGAAGCAAGCAATTATTTTACAAGTAAAATTTCAAGTGAAGTTAATGTTTACAAAATTTAAATTATTTTTGGGAATGTTTTGTTTATTTTTTATTTCCATTGTTTTACTCTGGCTTGCTGATTTTCTTTGATACAATTTATGTTTTCATTTTTTCCAAACATTTAAAATCTACGTCTTTTTTTTTTTGTCTTTTTGTTATTGTTTTTCCGTTACTTATTGATTAATCGTTTTATTTATGTTATTGCTAAAAGAAATGTTGTTGGGAAGTAGGTGGGTGAGTGGGTTATTTTAATTCCGTTTTGTTTTTTTTTTTGTTTTTAATATTTGTTTGTTTATATTTTGTCAGGAATAGTCTGGGCTGGAAGTAAATTGCATTTTCAAAAGACATTAACACAAAAACTTAACTACACTCAAAAAAAAGAAAACAAAAAGATGTCCTAAATACAGACACCCAGCCGACACAGCAAAATGCACACACACACACACACACACACACACACACACACACACACACACACACACACACACACACACACACACAAACAAATTAGTCGTATCCAATACAAATTTAAATACAATAAAAGCACAGTGAAATTACTTTTGTATATTTTAATACAAGAGAAATTTCGAATTAAGCAATGAATTTCAGACAATCTCCTTTTTTTAAACATTATGCAACATTCAAAACATCTTATCTTAATACAACAGATTACCAAAATCAAAACCGTTTTTTTTACATTTATGTATATATGTGAATTTTTAATATACATGAATATACGCACCCAAATACATATACATGTATATACAAATATATATTTTCCTATCAGAAAATATATACACATATAAAATATATATGCATTTATCAACGTGTATATATATATATATATATATATATATATATATATATATATATATATATACATATATATCCCATTGATACGTGAAAATTGAATATATATATATATATATATATATATATATATATATATATATATATATATATGCGAACATACAGGAGAATATATATTTACTTATATATAATCGTGCATTGATATGTGAAAGTAAAAACTTTTGTTAATACAAAATAATTTTGGGAGCGGATATACTGACATTAGTAATCTAATATTAAAGGATATTTTTTTAAAATGATGAATTATTCAATGGACAAGAGATTTATGAGGAATACAATTTTGTATGAATAATGTGAACTTTCTTTTATGGCTTCATATTTTAATTTATACCTTCGAAATAATCTGTGATCAGTAACGTAAGTGAAGCATGGGAGATAACTTTCTATTTTGAGTTATCGTTCTTGTTCAGATAGTTATACATATTCATGAAATTTGTTAAAATAACAAACGAACAATATCCGTTGTACAACATTGTATATATGAAAACCCTATTCAGTCTTACAATCGAAGCACAAATTATCGACCGAAATTCATTCGTGGGTAAAACAAGTAATAATTTCAAAGTAATTATTACTTTAAAAATATAACATCAGTTTTGAAATGAAATTTAATTCGCAAAGAAAAAAAATCAAAATATACCAAAAAGCTGGCATTCTTTTATGTCTACATTATCACCCGATTCTATCTGAAATACATTTAGAATATATTCCTATTTTGGGATATATTTGGAATATATTTTTGTTTGTTTTAACATATCCGATTCCTGTTGTTTTTTTTACATATCTTTTGCGTATATATTCATATATGTCGATGCACACATACATATATGCATTTGTGTCTTACATGTTGTCATTGTCTTTATATATATATATATATATATATATATATATATATATATATATATATATATATATAACAAACACATACATACATGTATATTTTCACATTGTTTACGAGATAAACAAGACAAATTTATCTGTTGATAAAATAAAGATTTTTTTTCCATAATTTTGTGTTTTTTTTCTCTCAATAGATTGTTTATACAGTTTTTCACTACACAAAACGTTAATGCTTAACGCAATGTCATTGTGAATTGAGCCGCCGAGACACTCACTAATATATCTGTAAACAGTTTCATTATATTCTTGATAGTCCTTACGACGTCTGAAAAGAACGCACGCGTCGCGTAATTCATTAAGGTCTTTAGTAAACCACATACATAGCAGCCATAGATGTGTCTAGGGGAACATAATCTGACAGATCCCCTCCTTCTTCAGGATAGTTTTCGAATTCAGAATTATCCTACAATGGTTGCTACCCAAGACTAGAGAACCTATTTTACCCTGCTGTTTAATCCATAGCTCATCAGGGGAAATATGGGTTTATGCCTTTCTCAAGGGTATTTATCACACGTATGTCAAGAGCACAATAGCCTGACGGATTTTTCTAACTCCTAGAAGGCTAGAGAACACAGTTTTCCCAGTTATTTAACCCATAGCTTGTGGGTAGGGGAAGAGGTGCAAAAGTGGATGTAATGTACTCAGTCAAAGTTCGAATTCGGCCCTCCGATTTCTACCTCCGAGCTGCTAAAAGATTTTGAAAACAATATCACAAATTAACTATCACTGCTATGACCATAAAACATTGTTTATTAGAGTTTGTTTTTTAATGGAATTTTAACAAATTGATATTTTTAAAACAATATTTTTGTTCCAAAATCCATGGGAATCTTCTACACATAAAAATAATAAAAATTATTATTAAAATAATTCTAATGATTCTGAGAAAATAGAAATATCTAATATAGTGTTATTAAGCATTTAGAATAATTAATAAACATGGAATATACCACTTAAGTCATATCCCGAAAAAAAAAACATCTTACTATAAAAGATTTATCCATTTTTTTTTAAAAGTTAAATTCTTTCTTTCAAACCGGCTTGACAGACAAAACCAAATTTTGTTGCTTGTAGAGGAGAAATGGTCAGGTTTTAAGTTTCCATAATTGTTAAAATTATTACAATTTACATGCGATATTTTTTAATTAATTTTGAACCATCATTATCAATAAGCAAAATGATAAAACAATTTAAAAAAAACAACAAAACAAACCATAAACCAACTTTTTGAACATGGTTTGCCGATGAACCGGCATCATCAAAAAAATAATTTTATTTCCCAAAAATAAAATCTTGTACATTAGCGAGAAGAAACGTGATTCACGTTAAACGGCCTAACGCTTGATGTTTACTTTAGCTGTATCGTTATGGAAATTAGATTTCAACTAATCTCAACCCAGTTTTTATTTTATTTTAATTTTTTTCAGAATTATTTATCCAGTACTAATTTAGTAAGAACAAGTGACACCCTGAAATATCCCAGTCGTATGTTAATCTCAGGATGTACCGGATTATCCTTGTAGTAAAAGTAGTAAATGCCAGGCATTAAATACTTTCAAGATGTTTGGGGAAATTAGCAACTTACGGTCTGGTTATGTTAATGTTTACATGGTGGTGATGGTGATGGTGGTGGTGGTGGGGGGAACTGCATCTTTGATTATTCATAAATCCAGGTAACGTTATAGCAAAGAAAAAATAATATGTAACATTATATCAACTCAAATATCCTATTAGAATAATTCGCCTAATATTTTTCTGCTTGATATAAGTCAAATCGCTTTGAGGAGCGATGTAATGGATAACGGCTCTTATGCGCAAATGCCCTTGGGAAGGGTATGAATATATATCTTCTCCCCCAGCTATGGGTTAAATAGCAGGACAGACTGGGTCCTATAGCCTTGGTTGGCAACCAGTCTACCGCAGAAAGAAACGGCAGTCTACTGCGGAAAAATCAGCAGCCTCGTCAGTCATGAATCACCTAAATGTGTGCAACGCATGGAACTTGACTTTCGGCTTAGATGTTACATATTTATCTCTATGCTAGGGAATAATTTATGCGTATTTTGTTTTTAATTTAGGACACATCTAACATACGCTACTGATCCCTCACTAGCTTAATTCGGCCCCGATCGCAGTGGGTGGGATCATACATCATGGTTCTTTCAATGCATTTTAGTCTGAGTAAAAATCAGGCATTTGACCGTGAATCACCTTATTATTATTATTATTTTTCGCTAATGTAGATTTTGTTCTTATGGAATAAAATTCTTCAAATTATATTTACTGTTCCGTCAACTTCTCATCCAACTTTACTCCCACTGGTCAAAATGTCCCTCATCTTTATTTAGTCCATTATTTCCAATATTATTCGGATAATAATCTGTTTTTTAATGGAAGCAGGAGATAAAACGTTGTCGAAATACGAAGTGAAAAATGATGAAATGCGATTTAGATGGAAAATGAGTAAACATAGATAAAAGTATGTTCCAAATTCTTGAAGCTAAAAAAAAAAAAAAAATGGGGGAATGATGAGATTTTTGCAATCTTATTTTTTCTCTTGCTAATGCTATTGATAATATTGCAATATGACCAGAGGCACACTCTTAGCTTTTTAAAAATATTCTTGCTATCATTTTCTACAAATTGCCGAAGAGATGTAAGATTTGTTTGCCATGGGAATTTACTCCTCTTAAAAAGCACATGATAATAGTTTTAGTCTAAATTATATGAAGTCTTACTTCTTTAACCCGACAATTTTGTGACTTTGTCTTACCAGTTCATTATACGTACATATTGCTTTGTGATTAATGATAAAACAAAGCTTAAAACAGGAAATAATACAACCATTAACGCTTCCAAACCAGGTCTTTATTGTGCCGCGTAATATAAAAACTAAAATCAAGAATCATTCTACGTGTAGCTCAGATAACATAAGCACGAAACTAGGGTCGGTTCATTTATTGAGTAACAAGTTCGGTTCAATGACTTAGTTTATAAACAGCGAAATTAAGGTTCAAGCCGCAGTTTGAAACAGAATCAAAGAATTCTAATGACAAATTCACAAATTACTGGAAGTAGGTTCAAAAAGTTTCGGATTACAGAGAGCCGAATTAGAGAGCCACAAAACACTAACTGGTTATTCATAAACGAAGAGTACATAAAAATGGAATGATTTATTTTTAATATAGTTTTATTATATTTCTATTATAAAAAAATATGAGCGTTTTCTTTTGAATAGTTTGCAATAAAATATAAAATTGGAGAAAATAAATTTATGCAAAAATTCATCAGATTCTATTTAACATATTTATAATATTTTTATTAAAATTGAATAAATAGAGAATATTAAAAAATTATACAATTCTATTAAATTTAACAAAATTTTGTTAAAAATTCTATAAGCATTTATTATGAATAAATGTATGAAAATTTTAAAATTGTTATTACACATTTGTAAAATTTTATTTAAAATATTATATGGGAAATTTATAAAAATTCTACTAAAATTAATGAAATGTTATTACAAAATCTATAAAATTTTATTCAAAATCAATAAATATATCGGAAATATAGCTTTAATTAAAAATTCATATAATTTTACATAAAGTAATTATGAAATTTTATTTTAAAAATTTATTAAAATTGCGATTATTTTTAAATTGAAAAAATTAATAAATACATATATTAATAGCTGAGGTTATCTATTACAGCGTTCTTTAATTCTGTTTTAAAGAGTCGGGTTAGACTCGTTCAAACTTTCATTTAAAACTGAATTGAAGAACTAATCCACAAATCAATGGCGGGAAATTCAAAACTTATAAAACTTTGGGAGTTGTCGGATGAGAAAGGCACAATCTTAACTATTATCCATCTTTTAATTTATTTTTTTTTTGAATGTCTTTAAGCCCACTTCTACTATCAAGAGAAAACTACACATACTCTTCAGTCTTTACTATAAAGATGCTATGTTGAAAATGAAGTCAATACAGAAATGTATGTACGTGTATATACATATTTATATATTCTGGAAATTGCAGTCTCGCGATATGTATTAAACATGACTTCCTATGGAACAAGGACACTCATGTGGGTCACCAAATGAGAATTAAAGTGCCTACACGATTAAGAGTCTGAAAGGTTAGTGCTTGTAAACCACATCTGTACAGTAAGATCCGAGGGAACCGTAACTTTTTATTAAAACTGTCAACATGCAAGCGGTTCTCTGTTATTCTGATATAGTTTTTTTTTAATAACCTTTGACTATAATCAAACATGGTACATGAGAAATGAAGGTAGAATGAATGTTGGAAACAGATGTTTCTTAAGTATAGCTTAGTTTGACGCATTGCCCAATATTTGAACTTATTACCAACGGCTTGCGAGACTAGTGTGCTAGGTAGTGTTCTATTAAGATGAGATGAGTAAATTCGATCGCATAACACAATATGTTAGTCAATCAATATGTTCGTCATTTGGACTATTTTGCTTGACTACTGAGTTTGAGTCTCACCAGGTGTACAACTATTATGCTATACTAAACTTAACGAATATCCGTTTAGTAAATATCAATAATGAAATTATATATATATATATATATATATATATATATATATATATATATATATATATATATATTTCTGAAATGTGATATTGTAATTATTTATATTATTTACATTGTTCGGACTGTTGTCCTTATCTTTATTGTCATGTACACGACGTTTCGGCCGTTGTACGCCCCAGCTTTCTTCAGATGATCGGAAATTTGAACCTAATTTCGTTCACCGGGGTAGATTGTTTTAGTGGATAAAAGCGTTAGTTGGGTCCAGTGACTTGATCCCAAAAGAGTTTTAAATTCAATACCTGGCTACGGCAGTGGTAAACAAAACTTGAAGAGTTGAGTTAAAGTGGGAAAAAAAGACATTTGGAAGAGGCATGTTGGACGAAATGAAGGGTTCAGGTAGAAATTCTAATCGCCTGAAGAAGGCCGAAACGTCGTAAACGTGACAATAAAGATGAGGACAACAGTCCGAACAATATATATATATATATATATATATATATATATATAACACTCAGTCATTCCTTGCGTCTTAGTGAAGCACGCATTCCTTGTTTGGGGTGAAATAATTAAAAAATAGGCACACATAAATATGTGTGTGTATATATATTTTTTAGTTTTTTAAATTATTTTAATTTCCAATTATTTAATATATATATATATGTTGAAACTTGACTAATGCATGGAATAATAATGCAACACAAAATGTACTTAGAACAAAATGTATTGAAACAAGGAAGTGTACACAATATTTACATATAGTCTTTTGTATATTCTTGGTAAGACCGTTCCTGGAGAATGTGTTGACTGAGTCGCAGTCTCTGGTTGAATCTCTTGATTCCTCCCTCTCTTCCCGGTACCAACCATATTTATATGGTCGGTACTCCACTATGCAAATTAGGTGGATCCTACCACAACAATATATATATTATTTCACCCCAAGCAAGGCAATAAATACACTAAGACGCAAGTGCGTGTGACTGGGTGTTAAAGAATATGAGAGAACGATAAAAGAACAACAATTAAATGAGTAGATCACGATTGACATTGCATTTAAACCTTTGAAAATCAAAGTTGACTGAGACGCAAGAAACTGGCCGCAAAATAGGTTTATATTGTTGACACCTGCCGGAGATGATATATATTAGGTCTCGCGTTGAAAGCAATCGAGACAGCATTTTTGGAGATAGTATAGAAAGCTATTGAAATATAACGAACTTTAAGATGATTAGTCAAGAGCGTAAACATCGTTATAAGCCATTATAAATTGACTAAATGAAAGACCAGATGTCAACATTTAAATCAGAATAAAACCTTCGTGAGAAGTCGACAGAATACGGTCAGTTTTCATCTTACTTTAAAAAATATAAATTAAGACAATTTTTATTGTGAAAAATAATGAAATAGAAAACTACACGAAAAATGCTTCAATTTGCTGGACATAAATTGTGTCGTTCTAAAAAAGGTACAGTGCATATTCAATGAATTTAAGAGATGATTAAGTTTATTTTACCATCCCAACTCATTGATTTTATACACGCAAAATTCTGTCTAGATCATTAGACCGTTTTCTTAGTGGCAAAATCTTTAAACGTATTGAAGCGATCACTTCAGCTTAATCAGATTTCTTTTAAACCAGAATCGCAGAATTGATTCAGAAAAAAAATGAATGTGCCCTAAACAAATACACGTATCCCTTGAAGGTAAACTTAAAGTATTTTATTAAGTCTCCAAAAATACGACAATACTTTCCGAACGGTGTAATGCTTCAGATGGGGGTTTTATTCTAATTTCCTTTTAACGAGTTCAACTGACTGGTAGCTTACGGCCACATCGCGTTTTTAAAACACCGGTTCCCGTACGATCACCGAAGTTAAGCAACGTCGAGCCTGGTCAAATATCTATATGGGTGACCGCTTGAAAATACCAGGTGCTGTAAGCTTGGATGTGTGGGTGGTGTAATGGATAATGGCTCGGACCTGTTAATCCGAGAGTCGAGTTCAAATTACCGTTGGGTCCGTTATATTCACTTATGCACAAATACCCTTGGGAAAGGTATGAATCCACCTCTTCTCCCTCCATCTATGGGCAAAATAGTAAGACTTGTATCATTAAAGCATTATTATCTTCGAAAAGAAATAGTACTTACAATCTAAAATATTTAGGGATTTAAATAATCTGCAAAGGGTTGATAAACCGTAAAAAATGACTCAATCAGCTCACTGATAGCTTTATTGTTTTAAATGTTAATTACACGGTTATTATTTCAGACTGGATTCACTCAACTTGCTCTTCTGACTCTTTTTTTACAGTTGATTCAATATTAAACAAATCAAATGAAAAGACCCAAGTAAAAAGAAAAAATGAAACATTTGCGAAATATTTTGTAAGGAGCTCCCCGAATATTGGGCGATTAAAAACTTGTTTTAGTGCAAATGTAAGAGAGCAAACAAATCTGTGATATTGTCTCCTCTTCTCGATTGATCTTAGTGAGATTGACTTATCCGAGCGCTCAAATCCGTTCATCAAATCTCTATTACATAGTAATAGTCATTTCGATCTACACTAGGTGCTTCATAGCTATCTCTAAGCCAAGCTTAGGAAATGTTTACTTAACTTTGAGTCCAACTGTAATAAGGCAATAGTTAGTAAGTCTTGGAGATCAATTCACTAAAGTTGTGAGTTTAGTCTTAATGATATTAACCAATTTAGCGATTTACGGCGTCAGTGTAATATTTGTAAACAAGCGGTCTTATATTTTAACATTACCTTAAATTAGTGCAAATTCCATGCTTGTTGAATGTCCCCTTACTTGCCTTGTACAAGATAAAGGGACTCTTTCTTGGTATTATTACTAGTTTAAATCATCTAACATGGAAAAATGCTTACAAACATTTTCCTTAAAGATCATTGGCGAGTGTAAGGAATTTGATTTTTTTTTATGACGATTGAATTTGACTATTCAAGCATTCGATTCTTGGGATAATCGTATCGTACCAAATAAGTGCACGATAAAAATGTTTAGGAAAATGAAACATCCAGGCATAAAGAATCTATAAGAGCAAAATGATTTTACTACACTTTTTGACACCAAATGTTTGAGATTTTTTCCTTTTTTGGAGGTTAGCAGATGTAGAGGAAGGCGGACAGAAACGAAGACACTTATAGTTATTTTTTTATATTCGGTTATTTCGAGACTTTTAATTACTTGAAAAAGACACTTTAATTTTTATCATATCTATTTGTGACTGGTTTTATTCTGATAACTTTCTTCTAGTCTGGGTTTCCTCCACTTTCAACGATACATGTCACGACTTTTGTAGCACCAGAAACTGATTTAAAGTTTTTTCAGTGTTCTGGGTTGAGTACAATTCTGATGGTTTTAAGTACTTCAGCGTTCAGAGATGAAGTTCCATTGAATTTAGCTCTTCGCGATAAAATAATAAAGCCAAATCAAGAATGGTAAACATTAAATTGAAAGATGCTTTTCGTCTTGTAGTCATATTTATTTATTTTTAAAATTAATTTTTGATTTTAGTATGTGGGTATTTTTTTAGTGCGGCCACATCGTTACTGCATGTAACACAAAGCCGTTTTTAAAGCGGGTTTACCGGCAATACCGTGGAAAAATTGCTCAGGCCATCTCGGCACTTCTCCTTTTGGGGAAGCCTCAGGCGCCAGGTAAATGACCCTGACCCTTCCTTAATGTGAGGTACTGCCTGGGGAGATGCTCCCTGGGGCTTGAGCGAAATGTTATTTTGACACTACCCTAACGAAGCCAGCACTGAAGTAAGATGGATTACAAATTCGTTTTACTGACCAATTTGCTAGCATTGGTGTTCAATCATTTATGAGTATCCCACTATATTAATAAGCTACTCAACAAATGACTATTTGGACGCGACTCGTGGAGCAATGACTTGTATGCTCATCAAATGATCCAATTTACTAGTTCAATAATTTAGAACCCTGTTAAAAGTTTTGAAAATGTGATCTTGTTTAAGATTAAGTTGTTAATAAAATAATTTTAGATAGGAGTTAAGTTTTTCGATTTAGGATGTTATTTAACTAGCTTTTAATATAATCAATATCAAAGGGATATTTAAATTTTATGGCAGCTGAACTTATGAATTCAAACGTTTGGGAACAATAATCACTTCTAAAATTTAATATTTTCACTGTAGACATAAAAATTGAAACGCAAAGAATCCATAAGAATAAAATGGTTTTCGTGCACTTTTTTGATGCCAAAGGTTTTGGAACAGATTTTTCTTTTCTTGGAGGTTAACAGATGTAGAGGAAGGCGGACAGAAACAAAGACGCTAATAGTTATTTTCATTTTTTTTTTAATTTTTTTTACATATTCTGCATTTACATACACACATTTAATTACCTTTAAAAAGATGAACTTTAATTTTTATTATATTTTTACGCTATTTGTGTCGGGTTTTATTCTGATAACTTTCTTTTAGTCTGGGTTTCCTCCACTTTCAACCATATCTGTCTCAACTTTTGTTGTGCATGAATCCTCTTTCCAAAGTTCAGGACAACGCACCGATTGTTCTGATTAGTAATTCAGTGTCTAGGTTTGAATGTTAACTCTTAATTCTTTTCCGTAAAGGAATGAAGCCATTAGAAAAATTTTATATGTAGTCAATAAAATGTATTTTGTTTTGCTGAGTCATTTACTGTATTTATTAAACATACTGCCCCACGCAGTCGCTTAATGTCGTAGTGTAAAATTTAACGAGTTTCTTTTAGATGTCATATTGCCTGAGAAGTACGATCGCGCTTTACTGAGGACGCACACTTTTGATCATTTGCCAGTCATTCTGCTATTTGCAAAAAAGAAAAAAGTATATAATGAAACGCAATAGAGATGAAAACTGTTGCAGATTAATTCTTTTGTGTAATGATTTCAAGACTTTCTCTGTGAGCATAGTTGTTGTTTTGGCCATGAAACATCTGATCTCATTAAAAATAGGCTGCCCACTGCTGACTAATTTGATACTGCATTGAATTCGTTCTTCGGTTGTCCTTTCTCTTGCGTGACAAAGGCTAAATTAAACTAATCCTATAAAATAATCATTCGCTTAAAAAAAAAAAGCAGAAAGTATGATTGCAGACACGAACACTTGTCGAATACTTGTAAAACCATCGATACCCTGCCGATACTTTTACAACGCTCGAGCTTGAAGTCACTTCGATCGTTACTGAACGACCCCTACGGATAGACTTGTATTTGAGTAACGTAGTCTATATATCAGCACTTACTTAGGACGCCTGAACAGTGCTTATAAACATTTTCTGGTAGAATATTGGTTAGCGTAATGAATTTGATTATGAATAATTTTTGATGGCAACTAGATTTGAGTATTCAAATCCTCCATTCTTGTGATAATTGATATCAGGCCAACTAGGATGAAAATATTTAAAAGCCAGACATTCACACAAAACTTCCACAAGTGCAAGATCATTTTCGTGCACGTTTTTTTATACCAAAGTTGTTTGACAGATTTTTCTTTTTCTTATGGGAGGTTTGCAGATGTAGAGGAAGGAGGACAGAGACAAAGACGCTAATAATCGATTCCATATCCCTTTCACAATCAAATAATTATTTTTAAAATAAGTTTTCAATATACAGGGTGTCACTGAAAAATGTATAGCTGGCCACTGATATTCGACGATACCCGTTTACTAGGGCGGCTTGCAGACGCTTGCTTAGGCACATTTGAGTTATTCAACACACACAGAACCCACCTGTGGTTTATACTGCAATGATGCTGAACAGACCTTAGTTGCATTTTCTGGGAAAGAGCGTATTATCTAGCGTGATCAACATTTTGCACAAGGCCAGGACGTTCAAGTCCTCGGTCACGATGACTTGTGACTTCGTGCTAGCATAGCTATCGACGATCTCCAACGGTTCCGTCTACTCATTTTCACTCAAACGGCTTGAGTCAACCCGTGGTATGTTTTTCAGGCACTTTTACAAAGGTGCCGCAAGCTGGGATCGACCTCTCCTGTTCGATCACACCAGGAAGTCTCCTTCCTGACAAATGGACCATGGGGGAGATTCGAACCCGGGTTTTCTGGTCAGAATGAGAACGTTCTAACCACAATGATCATATCACTGAAAAATGTATTCATTCTTTAAATGGCAATAAATGCAAACAAGATTAATGGTTAAAATTATGAAATATTAATGTTTATTGGATTACAAAGAATATTTGCGGTTTAAATTGAATATTACATGAAATGCAAGTTTATAAATATTTAAACTGACAACGAAGTCAAAAAAGTAAATACATATTTTGGAGGCACCCTGTATTCTTTGTTATTCGCGTCGGGTTTTATTCTGATATCTTTCTTCTAGTCTGGGTTTCCTCCACTTTCAACCACTTCTGTCACGACTTTTGTACTGCATGGATCCGATTTAAGTTCTTTTCAATATTCGGGATAGCGTAGAGATGATTCTGATGAGTATAAACGTTTAGTGTTCAGGGTTGAAGGTCCTATGAATTTAAATCTTGTGATAAATGAATGAAAAGAAATATTGTAACTGTAAATCCTTAAATTCGGAATAACGCTTAATCTGTTTAAATATTCTTGTCCGAGTATGACTCATACTGTAACCTGATAGTTTACAGGATCGTTTTGATGACCATATTTCTAACTGAGTGTTCGATGATTTCTGTGCATCCCAATATTTTTTGTCTTGTGACAGACAAAATTAATCCAAGTAATTGGGAAGTAATCGTTTACAAACTTGAGTCACAACATAATTTTCTTTTTCAATAAGTTAGATCATTACCAAACGTTCAACAAATGTGGACTTTGGCCAGTTTAAGTAAAATGATTATAAATACTATATAAATAAATAAAGCAATGATTTTAGACAAGAGTTATTTAAATATACTTTAATATCATCGATATCAAA